AAAAAAGTGTTCAATTTGTTTAATTTGTAATTTCCCTCTTATATTTGTGTTCTGCACAAAAAAGGAAGAAAAGGGTCCGAGTGTTTGGAAAGCCGAAAGGCGCCTACGCTTTGGTCACTTTAGTGATGGAAATTGGAGATTGGGAGATCTCTGTGTAAGCTGTGAATATTGATCAATGTAATTTGTTGAAGATAAAGTTTTGTTTTTCCTTAGCTTGTTGTGGATGGCTGTGTTTGCTTTTTGTGAATGGTTTTGGGTGGGATGGGACTTGAAACTGGAAGGAGGCATTTGGATTTTGGAGTAGTTGGCTGTCAAATCCAAACGAAACCCATTAAAAAAATAAGAGAGTTTCGTAGGCAAAGGGGAGAGTTGGTGATAATCAATGGAGTATTATAATGAACAAAAGCTATGACTTTTAAGCGATGCATCTTAATTAAATACGGAAAGAAAAGAAAAACTAAAGCTACGTGACAGAGATTTAGAAGCCTTATGTGGCATATCCTAAATTAAAAATGATAAATTATAAAAAAATACTTTTAAAAAATATTTCTATCTTATCGAAATTCTTTCACAAAACGTAAATATCGATCTTAAAAAGGAGATTATAACGAAATTAGATAGACAATACTCAATAGAGAAATAAATTATATTGAAAATAGAGGAATACGACTTCTTTTAAGAAAAGGAAAGGAATTGGGACCTGGATGGTTCTAGATTTCACATCAATTTTCTGTTTAAAATATTAATCGATATTTGCTGATTGGGGTTAGTATTGGAAAATAGTATTTTTTTAAAAAACAAATAGCAAAGTTCAGGTTTTTATTTTTTTTTATTTTTTATTTTATTTTAACTGGCAAAAAACCTTATGCGACAAGGACAGCCTTGTAAATGGGCCGCGTGATTGTGGGTCGAGAGGGGTTATAATGGGCCATCTATGTGGACCATTTCGTGGGTTCGGCCCATCAGGGAGGGAACACGAACAAGGCATTTCTGAAGGAGACGGAGTATTTATATACGAAGGTAAAAACCTCTCTATTTTGTAAAACCCTACAGCCTCGGCCAACTCGTCTCCCTCGCGAAGCGAATAGAAAAATGGCTTTGTATTCGATTCTCCGCAGGGCGTCGTCGCCGGCCCTGCACCTCGCTCTCCGGTCTGCTGCAACCCCCAGAAGCTTCCACTCCGCCATCTCCGCCGCTATCACCGTCGGGAAGCGTGATTTCAGTCAAGAACTTAACCCGGCTTCCTTTCTGAAAATTCTACGATCTTATTCGACCGCGCCTGCGAAAAGTAGCGCCGACGCTAGTCTTGTTCGCGTTCTTGAGTCTGAGATTAAATGCGCCGAGGAAGATGATCAGAATGGCGTAAGTTCTTAATCAGCTGCTTATGAACCGATGTTAATTTTTTATCTGTTATTTTCCTTTGTGCGTGAGATATGATATATTTGTATTCTTTTCTAAATCGAAGCAGTATTAGGGCTTTAAAACATGCGATACGTAAAACGAATTTCTAAATTTAAGAAATTCTTTCTTCCTTGAGCTGATTTGTGAAGTTCGAAAAAGTTCATTAGTTTTTTAGTTTCTGAATTCTATTGCCAGAGAAATCTTAGTTCATATTCTTGTTAAGGATCCCGCAGAGAAGGGACCTTTATATAAACAGAGGAAACTTTGTAATAAATATGGACTACTCCTCTCATTGTAAATTGGTTCTGAGATGTAACCTTATGAATCTTAATAATTGTTTGTATTTTAAAAGAGCCAGTCCTGACACTCATGGATATCGAAAGCAAAAAAGAATCTCTTAGTGGGCTGTAATGGCTGCTTCAATCTATTTCATCAAACCTTCTGTAATTTACAGCGGGTCCTAGTTCCTCGGCAGGACACCTTTTGCTTTCTTGATATGTAGGAATCGCACATATAAATTCGGAACCGTTGTATTTTGTACGTCATTCATATCTGAGATGAATTATTAGCAAGCAAGGTCCATGATGCTAATGGCCTTTACTTTAATGTTGCTTCGATTTGTTTTTATTTTTCTGTTTTATGAGAAATGCGTTCTTTACTTAAAATTATTAGTTTTTCTTTGGTTTACGGGCTTTTAAGATCCTTTGCCTGTCATTTCTCGTTAAAAGTTTTCCAACCAAAAATGGTCCTGGAGAATGCGCTTGTACCCGTAAAACCCTGAAATTCAAACTCACTTTAAATTCCAGGCCATCCTTGATCTATATGATCTGTTAGTCTAGTTTTTGGTTTAAGATCCGATGAATATTGCCACTTAATGAGTTATGGGAATCAAATGGGCTACATGATGAAGAGAACATTTTTACAGGCCAGGTGCTCTTTGAAGATTTTCATAGCAGATATTTGTGTCCTCACTCGGGTATTGTCATGTATTGCAGGTAGACGAAATCCCAGAAGGTTTTCCTTTTGAAATCCAAGACAATCCTGGAGAAAGAACCATATCGCTCACTAGAAAGTATGAGGATGAAATCATCAAAATTGAAGTAGATATCCCTAATGTTTCAGCTGAAGAAGAAGAGGATAACGACGAAGCTGGTGAGAATGATGAACAGGCACGTGAAGAATCCAGCATTCCCCTCGTCGTGAGCATTTCCAAGGATAGCGGAGTATGTCTTGAATTTGGTGTTACCGCATTCCCGGATGAAATATCTATAGATCATTTGTCAATCAAGCAACCTGATGGTTCTGAAGATCAGCTTGCATACGAAGGGCCCGAGTTCCAGTTAGTATACTCGGCCTTTGTTCTTTGTTCTTTTTAATCTTTGGAGCAAATTTGTTCACTAAATAACACTTTCCTTCTTATTCCTTTGCAGTGATTTGGACGAGAACTTGCAGAAAGCTTTCCACAAGTACCTTGAGATTCGTGGGATTAAACCTATCACAACAAATTTCTTGCATGAGTACATGATCAACAAAGACAGCCGAGAGTACTCGATGTGGCTGAAGAACTTGAAGAATTTTATTGAGAAGTAAATCTAACCAGCCCCCACTCTTTTAGAGGATGTTTATGAACTCTTTTATTACAGCATTATTTAGGCTTTGTATTATGATATTGTGAGCTAGGGAAGGTTTGCCTTCGATTTTGAGAACCATATAAAAAGTAAACCATCCTCTTAAAAGGATGGTTCATTTATCTAAGGATTTCCATATGCTTGAGATACTTTGAGTTTTTCGATCGATTGTATCAAGGTGTATTCGGAAGTGATTTTGGCAATTTCTCTTTTCATTGATCATGTTTGATGAATTAAAAGATTAATTTTAGAAAAGTTTAAATGTATTTTAGGGAGTGATTTTTGGTATGTTCATAATCACTCTAGTTATGCTTGTCAAATCAAAAAATTGATTTTTAAGGTATTACTTGATGGTGATTTTAGAAAATTAATTATACTTAAATTTTTTTTCTTTTAAAAAATCACTTATCTCATCCTCCTTCCCAAATACCCTGATCTAATCAAGACGTATAAAATTTATTATCTCAACGTTGATTGTTTTCTATTTTTTTTTTCTCGGCAATTATTTTCTAAAAAAGTAGAGGGTATAGAGAAAGATGTAAATTGTTCGCATGTTTAGGCCAGTGGCAATAATTTATTTTTTGGTTTTTTGGTCTTTCCTGGTTTTTACACCTTTTCTTGATTTGACAATTGTTATTAATTAATCTTAAGTTTTACTTTTAATTTATACATTATTATTATTTTGTAATAATGGTTAATAATTAATTAAAGGGTAAAATAATTTTGGTCCCTAACTTTAAACATAGATTTCGTTAAAATTTCGTTAGCGACACTATCGATGATGTGGCGATGAGTTAATAATTTTAATTATATAATATTTTTAATATTATATTACTTTTAGTTAGGAATTTTTATTTTTATTTTTGTCTTTTTCCTCCATCTTCCTTCCTCCTTTCCCAGCACTCCGTTATTCCACTTCAATTCCAACGTCAGGTCACAGAGAAGCCAAGAAACACCCCGCACCCATCGACAACAGGCTTAGAACAAGCCCGACAAACGTGGACAAAAAAATCGCGAGTAAGCAAAATGTTGACGGAGATGAAGAAGAGAAGAGGATAGGCTTGGCGCCTTGACGGAGAGGTGGGGTTGAGGGTAACTCAAGGCGGGAGTGACTGATTGTTCGGCGATTAAGAGGCAATAGTTGCGATGGAGAATGGGAACACTGGAGACAGATTGGAGGATAAAGCTCTCCAATGTGAAGATGGAAGAGAGAAGCAAGTGGGGAGGGGGGAACCAGTGAAGGGAAAGGAGGGAGGAAAGAGAGAAAAAAAAAAAAAGGAAAAATGAAATAAAATGTCACATAAGTTAAAAATTATATATAAAACTAATAAATACTGATACATCATACAAATTGCCAACTTAGCAATGTCATATCACTTTTTCGTTAATATCACTTTTCCATTAGTCAACTAACGGTCAACCTTATTCAGAGACTATTTAGAACTATTTTCAAAAGATTGAGACGTCAGTTTTTAAAACTTAGGGACCAAATAGAAACTTATCTCTAAATTCAATTTAGCTCAACCTCTTCCGTCGAGAGGTCATGAATTTAAATATCTTCACTTCACTTGCTGCACTAAAAAAATTAATTAAAATAATAGCATCGAATTAATATATAAACTAAATGTGACAAAAGGGTCAAAGCGAACTTAGCTCACGGTAGAAAAGTTGTGAGTTTGAATTCCGTCCCGAACATGAAAAAACTAAATGTGACAAGAGGAGAGAGGAAGAAACATTGATGTTGAGTAGTATTGGGATTGTACTTCTCAATACACATTGGGAACAACCATCATAATTTCTTAATTATAATTTAAGTTTTATTTTAAATTAATTATTAATTATTAATTATCAAATTAAAGTTCATTTTAAGAACAAAGTATATTAAAAATAGGTAAAAGATGATTTAAAAGATTTTTGTTTTTTTTCAAAATGTAAGACAGAAGAAAAATTAATACGAAATTTTCTGCAGTGCAAACATGTTAGGGAAACACAAACCAACCCTTGGAGGGGTAAAAAAGTACCTTGGACATGGAAGAAGATGAAGAACAATTTCTAATCTCTTATGTAAGGAATTGCACCAAAACCGACTCGGTTTTATCGATTTAATCGGCTTGATCGGTTTTTACTTGCACTCGTAGTAGTAGATTATGTTGGGTTCCAAAGGGTTTGCATTAAAACTATGAGAATGAAGAAGACTGAATGAGTGCTTGTGGAAGATGAAGTGTTCTTTCTCTCTGTGGAAAATGGAAAACTCAATTTTCTGCAACTTTCAAGACACCACCCTCAAGTTGGAAAAGAGAAAACCATTAAAAAAAAAGTATATTAATTAAATATGGTTTCAAAACATCATCCTCGTTGGAGCGGAAATGAAAAAACCATCTAAAAATAATTCTAATTAAAAATGGGTAAAAGAGTAAATCAAAAGTTTATCTTCTCCCTAAATATAGATATACCAAACTTGGAGAAAAGTGGGGTCGAAGATTTCAAAAATTGAGATTTTGAATGGATTGTGTTGTTCCTATTTATATACATTGGTAGAAAACTAAAAATAACATCATATATTTATATATATTTCTTTTTTCTAACAAACATATTTGAAATTTAAATAAAAATTTATAAATAATTTTTTAGAACAACAGGTGCTAGTACGTTGACTAATTGAATTATATTCAAATTAATTTATAAATATATTTACATATCGCAAAATCATCTTTTTAAAAATAGAGGTAATAGAGAGGTTAAATTTTATTTTTCAAATACGTGATAATTTCATTTATTCAAAAAGTTGGAAATATTTAAAAATTTATCATCCGATCGGTCAATTGATGTGGGGTGGACATGAGCATAATACAAATAGCGATGGAAAAGAATCTTAAATCATTCATTCATATCTAATTTCTCCTCAACGGTCCCATTTTTATTCTATTGTTTATGAGTATATAAACATCAATAAGCATCTCTAAAAATGCATATCGAAATCTTACTCTAGATTGCATAAAGACTCAATTAAATTATTAAAGAAACATTACGACATTCACCAACCAAAAAATTCTTGTAAACTACCAAAAAATAAAAGACAACATGACTGGTAAAAGAAGTGAAGCTTCATGGGCACTGTGTCACTGTCATGGCCACCCCAAGATCCTTATGGGTGTAGGCCACTCCTTTATCACCATTCACTACTTGCCCACTCCCCCTTAAGATCCTGCATTTACACAAAAACATCAACACCAAATCAATCCTACATTTGGCATTTGCCTAATCATATTCTTTTAAAATTATATTCAGAATGTCGTATTACCATCTCGTAGTCAAAAGTCCTTCTACCCCCACTGGGCCTCGAGCATGAATCCTACCGGTGCTTATTCCCACCTGTTTTGTCATAAACAGTTGAATCATCAATCAACTCAAAAACTTATTCGGATGAATTAATATTGGTTAGGGAATAGCTTACCTCTGCACCAAGTCCGAATCGAGCTCCGTCGCAGAAACGTGTACTAGCATTGTGGATAACTGCAGCACTGTTGCATACAAGATTGAGAGAATTAGAGATGGTTCACATAAAAATCAGGCTCTTGGACCAAAAAGTTGAGTTACATTACAAGTGTTTGTTTTAGCAAAGCTATCATTGTACCTATCAACTTGATTCAAGAAAATTTCAGCAACTTCCTGATCTTCAGCGACGACACAGTCGGTATGTGCGCTGCCGAAAGAGTGGTCGGTCAATTTGAGTTCATTAGTTCCATACTAACATATAGGAAATTTTGTTTTCTGGCTCACCTTCCATGTTCATGTATATGATCAATGGCAGAAAAGACATCATCCACAATTTCAACAGTGCAAGCCAGTGAATTGTACTCATGGTGGAAAGAACTTGCCTCTTTGATCTTAAGTATTGCGCTAGCTCGTTTTCCCCCATATAGAGTCACACCTACATTACAAACCAATTTTTTCCTTAGTGACAGCAGTTTTCACTTTTCAGTTTGATGAAGAAGAAATGGTACATCTATACCTTCCTTTCGCAGTTCCGTAACGAGTTCGATAAGCATTCCGTTACTTGCCAAATCCTTGTGCACCAGGAGCGTTTCCTGAAAAGGCATAAAAGGGACTGCAAATTATAACCAAAAAGATAAGAACATTTTGCAGACTGTAAATAGTTCTGCTATCAACACCAAGAAGTGGACAAACCATTGCGTTGCAGGCTGCTGGATAATCTGCCTTCGCATCAGATACTATCCGCTTCGCCATCTCTATATCCGCTGATTTGTCGACATAAACGTGACAGATCCCATCTGTGTTGTTGGAAAATAAAGAACTTTCAGTAGTATAAGATCTGGTTTTAAGACTATGGCATATTGCTGCATGTTATTTCTCACCTGAATGACCAAGAACAGGAATCTTTGTGGACTCTTTAATCTGAGACACAAGTTTGTTACTTCCTCTTGGAATCACAAGGTCTATAACATCATCAAGCTGTGGCATCAAGTTGTTATAAGAAAATAACCCAGAAATATTCATATTCAGTATTCACTCAGAGCTTATAAGCAACACTAAGTATAAACAAATTCTCTCCTCCCTTCACCTTGAGCAGATCAGGAATCTCTTCCCTTGATGTTATGAGTCCAATAAGTTTTTCACCGACGGTATCGGGGATGGCTGAAGTGATGACCTAAGGAAAGAAGGAATCGATAACTTAACCAAAAGAAACATGGAAACAGGAACAATCAATCAATCTAGAATAAGCTGGCAAAGGAAAATGAACCTTATGCAGAGCTGCATTTGATCGCCTGGCTTCTTTCCCCCCTTTAAGGAGTAAACCGTTTCCGCTTCGTATCGCCAGTGCAGCTATCTGTAAAAGCAGTAGAAAACTAATCACAATGTGCTCCAATTCTAGCACTTATAACAAGTAGGAAGCATTGGATGTTCATCCTCACCTGAACTAGAGCATCTGGCCGAGACTCGAACACGATGAGGAGGACGCCCAAAGAGCACGAGGTGTTTTCTAAAATAAGGTCATCAGCAAGCTGAATGAAGTGGTAGATAAATCATTAAAACTGCTCAACGAAGCGATGGCATAGTAGAGGGAGCATCAATGAACTCAAATATAACAGAGAACAGAGAAAGAAAAAAAACTAAATTTGAAACAGTATTCCTACTTCTTTTCTTTTTAAAATGCGACCTATTGGCTCTTCCATGTCTGCAAGTTTACGAATAGAGCTTGCAAGAGTCCCAATCTGTAAAACAAAAATTGTTTCTGCTAAATTTTCTATAGAAAAAGAGAAGCATGACTTATCATTTATCAAAGGATCTTAAAGTACCCTTCCAGGCTTTAGAGCCAGACGAGATATCAGAGACTTCTCATATCCAACCTCCTCCGCGGCTTTAATATCAGCAAGGTTCTCAGCAATAATCATATCTTCATTATCTTCAAGGGCATCAGCCACATCCAGCAATATCTTCCTCCTATCTTCAGATTTCAGAGCCTGCATACCAATACAAACGTTTAAAATCATGAGGAATTCAAACTCATACAACAAATATGAGAAATTAATGAATCCAGGAGTTGTAATAACAGAAACTTGTTCCATTTCACTACCTGAAGCTGCCTCGAACTTTCCCGGGCCGAAACTGCCATATCTCTTGCAGAAATTTCTTTAACCACAGTCCACAAATGGGCATCTTTGTGAAAGAGAGTTCCTTTCATCTCACCTTGAAGTACTTTTATTATGTTATCAGTGGCAAAACCACTGCACCAGATTGGGAATTAGAGATGGAGTTACAATAGATGTATCAAAGACTTCAAAATGGTCAAGTGACAAGATGGATCATATACCTTGTAATGACAACAGGAATTCCAGCAGAAGCAGCATAAACAGCAGCATTTACTTTAGCAGTCATACCACCTCTGCCCAACCTGGACTTGTCACCAAATGTTATTTCCCCTAAATGTTTCTCTTTAATAAAAGTCCGGATTAGCTTCGAATTCGGGTCACATGGAGGGCCACTATACAGGCCTTCAACATCACTGAGTAACACCAGAAGATCAGCTTTGAGTTCTAAAGCTAATAGACCTGCCAAACTGTCATTATCCCAGAAAATACCAGAAGAATCCTGATAAAAAGTTGCTCTTGATCAGAATCTTACAGACATTTGAAAAGATGGGTAGGAAAAATATGCATAAAAAATGACAATACCTCATATGGTGTTTTCCTAGTACTAACTGCATCATTTTCATTAAAAATGGGGATGACCCTAAGATCTAACAATGAGTTAACTGTCTCAGAAAGCTGCTGTCTAAAGCCAGAGTCACAAAAAACTGAATCTGTCACTAGAAGTTGGGAAGAGGTCACATCAAGCTGCAAATTGCATAAGAAATCATTAGATTAGCAACAACAATTGGAGCCAAAATTGTTTGGTATTCAAAAGAAATTTGCATTCCTATGAGTAGTTTAGATCATAATTTGTATTCTACCTGGCTAAACATGGTATCATAAAGAGCCATGAGGCTACTCTGCCCAACAGCTGCACAAGCCTTCCCATCAAAATCACCTTGTGGATTCTGAAGATCAGCGAAGCTGTGGAGAAACAAAAACATACATATATATCAGAAACTAAACCTTTTTTTATAACCTGGAATTGATGCTGTGTGGCTTCTAGTTGAATCCCTATAACTAGGGGTGTCGGCCACCCAACACTGTAACCGAAGTTGCTAGAGTCTGTCCTCGAATAGGAGGAAAGGCCCCTGCTACACTCCCCACACTGTGGATGGGTATCCCCATTCGGCCACAAGCCCACTATGCCACCATCCGCCCTCCGCCGATGGTATATATAAGAATCTAAACCTGAAACAGAAGGTCTAAAAAAGAAGGCAGAAAAGGGAAGGTATCAAGAACCTGCTATTGGCCAATCTTCTATATCTGAGCCTTTGACGACCAAGACCTACAGCACCTGATGTAACCAGAATAACCTCATATCCTCGAGAGTTCAACTCCTTGAGCTGTCCAGCCATTAATGTTTCACAATCAATTAGCATCAAATTAATGCAACAAAATTTCCCAAATAACCAAACTAATTAATCACCTGCTCACACAGAGCTCCCAGCCTTCCCAATGCCAGCCGTCCATCTCCACGAGTAACCACAGCCGTTCCCACCTTACAAAAATAAAGAAAGAGCCATAAGAAATCAATGTGGTTTTTTTTAGGGATGAGGATGCAACACGAAGAATTATAATAGATGTCTTATTCACGAAACAAGCTCATATGGTCAGGAACTAGTAATAAATTACAATGAAAAAGATAAATATCACACACAAGCAATCAAACCCAAAAGATTAAGCAAAAAGGTTACCATATAACTAATTTTTAATACAGGATCCAAGACAGGACTATTAATATTAATTGAGAAATAGATATCAAAGAAGTTTTTCAAACATAGGATCAGTTATATATATTTAATATTTTTGAGAGACAAAAGTTGCAAATGGTAAAAATGAATTAGAAAACAGATAAAAGAACATGATTTCTGGATCATTAAACATAAAGATTTGGACGCATAAAAAAGAGTACCTTAACGATCAAACGCTTGACATTTTTGACAAAAACTCTGGTTGGATGAACGGATGAATCCATTGATAATGTATTTAAGAAGGAAAAAAGAGGGAGTTTGAAGTGGGTCGACTCGGGACATGCGAGGCGACCCAAATGAGAGGAAAAAGAAGACGAACGAAAAAACAATGAGAATGAAGTATTTGATGTTATATATAAAACCAAACCCAGATTAAAACTGGAGAAATAAATCTCAAAAAATTAAAACTTGAAAATTTCCGATCAAAACGGGGAGGCCCTCTTGTTTCAGGAGAACTTCAAGGACGTTCTTTTCGCTGCATCTGAGATTCTGAGTGGAGTGTGTTCCTCTCCCATTAATATAAGTACGTAAAAACACTAAAAATTAACACCTAAATAGAAAATTAAATGTCAAGCTGACCAAGGTTATCTTCGGCCCCACATATTTAGCCAAAAATAAATAGAGATGATTAAGTTTTATTTTTATTTACCCGTAAGTAAAATATTAAAATGGCGTGAAAGTTTAACAATATAATCTAAAATAGATATACCGTTTCTAAAAACAAGTAGAAAATAAACCCCCTACAAAATCTTGCTTAAAAGTAACCCCATTAATTCTTACGACCGTCTCTAACTAAAATGAGAATCAATTAGAAGGAAACCTTGACGACGAGACGTCTTGCATTCCTGGTAAAAACTCGAGAAGGATCCATGGTGATGGTGTGATAGTGGATAAGAGATTGATGAGTGTTGTGTGGTAAATTATAACAGTAGAGGTAGTGGGTCAGTGATTCAGTTGGCGGTATTTAAAGGACAATTTTTGCAGAGGGAAGAAGAACAAAAGAAGAAGGTTGGGAACGTGGCGGAAGAGGATTGGTGGAATATGGAACATGAACAAGAACACGGTGGCCGCTGGTTCCTGCGGCTGTGTTTTGAAGCGTACGTGGAAATTAATATTGTCGCTTGATCTGGTCGGCGGCCGCCACGTGGGCCTTCACCTGCGCTGTCCGATTAGCGATTGCGCAGTAGCCACTGCCACTGCGTCGTCGTCTTCCTCTCCAAACCATGTGGGATTCTTACGTTACAACTTACACCTTCATCTTCCGTCTAAATCACTAATTTTACTTGCTCGTCTTACGTTACATGCTAAAATTATATATATATATATATATATATATATAATCTTTTTCCTTTTTTTCTTTTCTTCTCTTTTAGGAAATATGCTAAAATGCTGATGTAATTAGCCAATTTGAACTTTTGGATTATAAATATGTTGATGACGAAATCTAGTAAGCTTTCTTTTGGAAAGTGAGACGTGCACGACGATTACTAACTTAGAAGACCGAACTCAATATTGGTGTATTGCTTGCAAATTAGCTTAAGCCACTATTTGTTTGGATGAGATTTAAGGGTTGGTGCAAGAAATTGCATATCTTGAAAAAAATTTTGGTTTTTCTTTTTATTGAGGAGGAATTTTGGAGAATGTGTTCCAATAGATTAGGATCATGTGTTGATGTAGATTTAATTTCATTCCTCCATATAATCTTGATTCTTGATCAACTCTATTACTTTTTTTAATTATTAATTAATATGAATTCGTTATTATTAAATGGTAGAAGAATAAAATTAATACTAGTGATGGTTGGTCTAATAAAAATTTATTTTAATTGATGTGATTTTATTTTATTTATCTATCATTTGTTAATATTAAATAAATTGTTAAAATAAAAATATTTACTATAAATAAATTAGTAATAAAATGGATGAAAACTTAGTATTATTTTAATAAAAAAATATTAGTACAATAATGTATTTGTAATTAACTAGAATTTCTAAGGAAGGGTAATAGTAGTAATTGAATCCTATTTCACAAAGTTTCTGATTCTGATTCCAAAAAATTTCTAAATTTGTTCATGGGTTCACGATTGCATAAAAAATTAATGATCTATAAAAAAATTAATAAAATATTACTAATATCAACATAATATTAATAATTTTGTTAAAAGAATGAAATGCTTATTAAATCAAATATTTGTTATGATTTTTTAAATATTTATTGACATAGAGATTTTATTTATATTTTTATAAAATTGAGATTTTGACATTTCTATCGACATTAACATTCAAAATTTTAATAAGAACAGTCGTAGTAATATTGATATTATTCACTTGTCAGTTTGGATTATTTAAGAGAACATTGTAGCAATGTAAAAAATAATTTAAAAATAAAAAATAACAGTGTAGCTATATATATATATATATATATATATATATATATATTTTAGTAGAGGTATATGTCAATTACCGTGAACTATGCTTGCTTTGATGTATAACTGTATTACTTAAGGATTAGGTATGAAATCGACTCAATTGAGAGAGTAGTATGTCGATATTGAAAAGGAAATTTAAAGATGGAAGTCATTTTCCATTAATTTTGACTTGGAAGACAATTTTGCTTTCAAAATAGCATGTGCTTGAGGTTAGAGAGAGAAATTATTTTGTGGTGTGTGCTATGAGATAGCAAATTTGTGACCTATTATTATGAGCGAGAGATTAGTTAATTGTATTATATCTTCTCCACGTGTATATCAAAATATGGACCTTTAATCTCCACGTGTGTGACAAAATATAAAGATAAAATTTCCATTTCACATAAAGTATATATTTTTCAAATAACCAATTGGACTGTGATACAGAACACCTTTTCCCATGCAATGCAACTAAACTAAAAGAAAATTTGAAGTCACAACATTATCAACATATCTATTATTTTTTTTTATGAGAATATATTGCTTCTAATCGAATCCATAATTAAATTCCACCATCAACCTCGACCTAAATAGGTAATAAATTAAAGTTGATTGTCTTAAAAACAATGTATAGAATAACATTTAGTCTCATGTTATTGCCTTTTCTGTTAGTTACTTTTTTTTTTGTTTGTTTCTCTCTCTGTCCAATCTCAAAATCAGAAGGGATCCAATTCTAATGGGAATTCTCAAAGAACAAACAATCAAGGGTGTGGTAATTCCAATAATGGTAAATTTCGCAAAAATTGAAATGAAAACAACAAACCTGTAGTGACAAATTTGTGGGAAGTTTGGTCATGCAGTTGACAGATGACGTTATCTTAAATTTGAATGCTCATTTCAAGTGGTTGGTTAATTAGTAGATGTCTTATCATGGTAATACTACTCAGTTGAGCTCCTAAGAATAATATATATGACCGCCATCATGTTATCAAATGATCTTAACACTAATATTAACTTGCATCGGGACTTTGAGGCCAAAGTCCACGAATCATGTTACGCAAATGAGGTTAATAATCTTACTATCAATTTGGAATATTCTAGTGTACCAGGATTAAAGTTGGCAATAAAATAAGCTTGAAACTCTTACAGTAACTCTTCTTTTTCATGTGCCTATCTCAATAATGCTTTTAAGCCCTAAGTTTTTTGTTCTGTTAGCTTCTTTCTTGGCATATTGAGGTCTCCTCTTATACCAAGTTGTGGCCTTTTTATATCTCATTCTAGGTATACCCTAATCTCCACCCCATGGTTGTTGGCTCAGTTGTCTATGCTTTTGGTGGTGAGAAATTTTCTTTGGAGGGTCCTTTATATAAAAACACTCTTGGCTGAACTCTTCAATATGTTATTCTTATACGTCCGAAGTTGTTCTCCCTCCATTGTCCAATGACAGGTTGTTAAAAGCATATTGCGTTATTTACATGGTACTCTTGATCGTGATTTGATTTTTTTTTAAACTACTAATTTTTTGGTTCAAGGCTTTGCTAATTTGACTAGGCATCTAATCCAGATGATCGCAAATTCACTTTGATTTCTATGTATTTTTTGGTGACGACTTAATCAACTGGTCGTCTAAGAAATAATTTGTCATATCGAGGTCCTTGTCATATGATCTAGTAGTATTCACGCAGCCTTTCTTCATCCATTCCTAGACCACCTACTAGTCGGTGTGATAATCTTAGTACAATGTGTCTAAGTGCTAATCAGGTTCTCCATTGCCAAACAAAATATATAAAGATTGACATTTGTTTTATTCGGAACTTAATTTTACAAAAGAAATTATTTGTTTGTGATTTGCTCATATTACTGTTCAAATTGTTGATATCCTTAGGAAATCTCATTGTGAGCCGGAGTTATTCTTTTGTTATTTAAGATTAATTGAAAACAATTAAAATTTTGTCAGTTTGTTACTCTCGATCACCAACTATCGTTGAATGAAAGAGTTTTTGTGATCAATTGTTGAATCTTGTGATAATTGTAAAGGATCAATAAATCAAATAAGATGGCCAAAGGAGGTTAAAAAATATTTAATTAGTTCTAGAAATGGGAGAAAATGACACATAAATGCGAAAGTTGGCCGGAACGTAATCCCAATGGCATCAAATTAAAATAAAATAAAATAGTGAGTCGAAGGGCCACAACTTCAAGCAAAAAGTTGAAACGAAAAAGGTTCAAACAGAATCTAAGATAAAAATTTTAAAATGTTTAATAATCATCACTACAATGTCTAAATTTCAAGATTTGTTAGTTATAGATTTGCAGATTAAATTTCAAATTTTCACATTTCAAAACTATATATACGGAACGGTAGAGTTTTTTTTTTCTGAATGTTCAAAATTTGTGCACAAAAGTAATTTAAACCAGAACCTAATAAAGATTTTGAAATTGATTATTTTTGCAATTCTGAACTTTTGAATATTTATTTTTTCAATTTCCTCTATTTATTTATATTTATAAAAAAAATTTATTCTTTTTTTTTTTTGAAAAGCATCTATTCCTTCATTGAAAATCGCTGAAAGGAGATAATATCTTTGGGGCTATTTTGAAATCTTAATTACATGAATGTCTTTAGATTTCAAAATTTACACTTTTAGATATTTACGGTTAGGATTTTATTTTAATACCGTTTCTACCTTATTTATTGCTTTTTATTTTATTATAATTTTTAAATTTTAAAGATTTGAATCCTTAATTTGTAATTATATTCATTTAATTCTTGTGGGCCCCATTCAAAATTTCAATTTCAATTTTGTTAAATGAATTAAATGTTGTCGATTCTCTTTCCTCGTTTGTTGTTCTGTATTCGTTTCCAAGGTGCAAAGACGTCGGCTGCCAGACCTTCATTTTCCATCTTCAAGGCTTTTATGAACAAGGTATTTATTTCTTTTGCACGTTTCCAACGCCGTTCATTCCCGTCGACATCTTTGCAGGTTTCCAACGTCGTTCGTTGTACACCAAATCAACGAGGTATTGATTTCTTCTTCTCCCAGACACGTCCAAACCTTCAATTTCCGTCGCTGAATAAACTTTCTGTCGACGTCTTTGGACGTTTTCGACGTCGTGCAGCGTGTTCCTCGTCTCCTGTCCCCTTCTATTTATACCATGGGTAATTAATAGTCTTCCGTTGAGATTGGTATATATGGGGATATATTTTATGTATGTGTACAGAAAATGGAAGTTCTAAACATCTCACAGTGTTAGTATTCCTAATTATATTTGTATATATAGGTATATATTGTATATGTGAATATATCTTATATGTGTATACATATATCTTATAGTTCTGTAGAAATGGTCCTCCATACCATTTGTA